ATATTTCAAAGTTGTATTAGCCTCTGGTTGGTTGTCTTCTTTTTCTACTCCAATCCTGATTTTTATCACCTTGCACTGCTTCAAATTTGGATTCTTTGGATTTACTTCATTATTACTTGGAATGCTCCTGGAAGTCTATTATTCAGTGAACTATTCACTTGTCCTAATTGTGTTTCTAAGTTTTTGATGTCTACAACTTGACTCTGTAAAGTATTCCCCATTTGAATTACTAATTCTTTGATAGGTGGTTATCTTGAGTTTTGGCAACTAGCCTGAAATCTGGGTGAGTATTGGGGTTGGTTTCCTGGGTTTTACTAGCCACCTACATGGCTATTCTGGTTGTTCCCCAATTTTTGGTTGTTATTCTAAGAGAAATGAGGTGATTTCTCCAACTTAGGTTATAGGTGTTGAAATATGGGTTATGATCATGATTTTCTATAACATTTCTGGATTCTAAGGCTGAGATGTTAGGATCTATCACAAGCCCTTGAATTAAACCATTGTTGGGTGATATTTCATACACCATATTCATCCTTAAATTGTCTTATCTTTTAGAAATTGGAGCTACTTGGATGAGCAGGATAACTATATCATCAAATTCAAGGACACTATTTACTTTCGGGGTGTTACTCTTTCAGCGGGTCATTGAAAATTATTGGCGACCATTTCTTCTATTTATTTGTAGGCTTCATCAAACGATTTGGACATGTGGGATCCTCATAACGTGACATCTATTATGAATCTCAGGGAACCTGCAAACCAATTTTAAAAAGTTTGAATGATTAGCTAATCGAGAAGGACATGGTGTGGGCATCTCCTTAGCAGTTCTTCAAACCTCTTCCAGGCCTCATAAAGCGACTCTCCATCGATTTGAGTGAATGATGTAATGTTATTTCTAAGTTTTACAGTTTTGTATGGAGGAAATATTTGGCAAGAAATTTTTGGGCCAAGTTACTCTAAGTCGTGATTGATCCTGTGGCAAGGGAGTTAAGTCATACATATCTTTATCCTACAGTGAAAAGGGAAACACCTCAGTCTAACAATATCATTAGGGACACCATTATATCGAAAGGTGGCACATAGCTCAAGAAAATTGGCTAAGTAAAGAATGGGGTCTTCAGTGTCAAGTACCATAAACTGGTTGTTTTTAACCATTTGGATTACGACATGACACAATTCAAAAGTGTTAACCTCAACATTAGGATAGTTGATGCTCATGTGAAACTTTTCAGTAGAAGGGTTGATGTAATCCCTAAGTGGTTTCATGGTCGGTGAAATAGGCTGAGTCATTTCGATAGGCAATTTAGAAGCCGTGTTTATTCTCTTAAGACGTCTAAATATGCGATCAATCTTAGGTTCAAAAAGGGCAAGGTCAGCCTCATCTCTCTTAAATATAAACATGACAATTTAAAACTACCATGCATCTGACATGCACACTGACTCACACAAGTCTGTCAACAAAATAACATGCAAATGCAACACACAATATGTCAATAAAAATTAAAAAAAAACATAAAATAAATTAACAACAAACTATTTTTTTGGGCTTTTTGTTTTTTTTTTAAATTTAAAAGTATTTTAATTTTTCAGCATATGCAGGGAAAATAGTATAAGTACACATGCAATGACAAAAAATAATATAAGAAAAATAAAATGAAACAACAAAATGTCAAACATAGATTCTAAAATTTTCAACTAAAGTTCTCCTACAACAGAAACAACTATTAACACATTTTCTAGGCAACGACGCCAAAAAATTGACTCGCTAAAAATTACCGAGATGTAAGTTGGTCTTGCAACGTAAGTGCATGTGTTAAATAGTAATGCGGTTCAAGAGTACCACATATCAATCCCACAGGAAAAGTATAATATATGCTTCCAAAAAAAAAACTCTAGTTTACTAATTTAGTTAATCTAGCTTAACAATTATCAAAGAAGATTTTTAAGTTCTAAGTCTTAAGACTCTTAACAGAACAAATACTTGGCAGTAAAAGAAAGTAGAAAATAGTAGGGAAAAATTTATGAGTTCCTTGAAGATAGATGAAGCTCATGCTTCTATGATTTAGGGATCGTGATGATCGCGGCCCTCCTAAATTTTTTTCTATGTGAATGTTGTCAATCAGGAATAAGATACTCATTATGCCTATGGTTAGATCAAACATAGCTTAGAATTCATGAAGTTAAGGCTTCCTCAATCCACATGACATTCAACACCACTTTTTCAATCCCTTGGGATGATTCCAGAATTCAATTGGAATACGATCATTCTCTCAAAATTATATGGTTAACCCTTTGTTTCCACTATGAAATAGTTAGAGGTCGTAGTTTCATGAAACATTTTAATTTCTTAGTTGGTTATACTATGAGTAAATAAAGATTGGAAGTTAACCAACAACATATGCCATGAAAAACACCACATTAAATTTCATTGTAAACAATATAACGATGAAAAATTTATAAGAAATTGTTTCCTCAGCAAAGTCAGCAACTCTCCCTCTCATACAATATCTCTCACAGCTGACAAAGTGAGTACACTCTCACTTGAAAGTTTCAACCCATGAAGGAAGACAACCCTCAAGAGAACCCTTAAATCCTTTCATAAACTATGTTCTTTCAACCTCTCAACCTTCTTTGATGCAGAAATCCTTCTTAGAAGCCCTAAGATTCAAATTTATAGCATGAATCACGGTTTGTGCCATCAAATTTCCTTCCTAAAGTGTTTCTCGCTCGTTGGCTTAATCATGCCTGTTTCTGGCGTGGTTAAGCCGTTCTTCTGTTGGGGCTGACATGGTCACAACCAATTCTGGCATGGTCATGCTGACCTATTGCAATACATGGTGCGGTCACGTTAGCCTGGTTTGATCAATGGCATGGTCACGCCATCTTTAGGCATGGTCACACCACTTCGGGGTCCTTTTCTGCTAGATTTTCTTGTTCAAACTGGTTCGTGTTCAATTCCCGCACCCTACATAATATGAACAAAATTCATTTCTTAAGTGTAAATATGTGATAAATTAATGAAATTAAGATGTAAAATCCAGCAAAAATAGCAGGTAAAATGACATAAAATTGACTTATATCAAAAAACTTCATTAAAGTTTATCAAAATATCTCGACCACCTCTATTGAATATCTTCCTCTAATAAAAGAAATTTTTAATCTAATCTTTGATATACTTTACTTGAATTAAATTTTTACTTTACTTTTCTCTTTGTTTAGTTAGTTTATACACATATATGTTTATCCTCTTTATTTTCTAATCTATTATAGATATCACTAACAGAAGAATTCTTAGCGTCACAAGTTGTTCTCTTAGACTCCTTACGAGCCACCTTATATTTTTCTCAGTTTTCTAAGCTTTTAGCTTGAAACATTTTTATAACAAACATTCTTTTTTATCCTTTCTTACACATTATTATTTCATCATTAACTATTTTTATTTATAAAAAGCTTTTCCTTTTTAATCTTGAAGTACAACTTTTGTCACTTGTTTAATAGCGTTGCTACTTTATCCCACATTGAATTAGCTTATTCATGAAGCTCCCAAATCATGAAATATTGAAGTTTACTCATAAAAATAATTTTATTTATGTTTTTTAGGTGCCCTCATCTAATTCTATGACAATATTTTATCATAATTTTTATCTTCCAACATCAAATCTAAAAATTCAAAACTAATAATTGATGTCGAGTACTTAAATTTTCACTTAGAATGACTTTACAATCTTTACATTCTCGATGATCTCTTTTTTACATAAGAAATTAATTAATTTAAGTTTTATTAGATTCATTCTTATAAGTAATAATACTATAATATATTTTTTTAAGTTAAGTATTAACAATAACAAAATCATAAGTTAAGCAAAATCTAATATAGTTCTATAATCACTCCAAAATAGTAGCCAACATAAATATTTCTAAAATCTTCTACCACTCTACCAACACGTCAATTTAATCTCCTCCAATAAAAAATCTTTCTTCAGGAGGTATAATTTGTATTAATTCTTCTAGTTCATTCTAAAATTCATCTTTTGAACTTATATCTAAAACTATTTGAGAAGCAAAAACATTTATAATATTTAAAATCTTAATAACAACAATATTCTTTAGAGCTATAATTTTATCTCCAATTCTATTAATTTGCACATCATTATCTTTCAAACTCTTGTTTATAATTACACCCACACAATTTCTACGTGACTTCTACCAGAATACCAAAGTTTAAAACCTAAACTATCAATCACCTTAGCCTTTTCTCCAACCCACTTAGTTTCTTGAATGAATAAGATATTTATCTTCATATGAATTATAATATCTACTAATTTTATTAATTCACCTATGAGAGTACATATATTCTAAGATCTTATCATAATATTAGTTTCATTGACTAATTGCTTTGCTCACATCCATCTATTATGTGGGAACCATTACTTATTTTACACTACACTCAGACGCCAGTGCAGCAGTCCTTACACACTTTTCCCTCTATTCAGGACAGAAAGCACATCGTTTCCCAGCGACAACCTATCATTTACACAATGATTTCAGGGATTCAAGCCATGATTACTGATAAAAACATTTGATTCTAACTATCGATTACTTAATGCAACCCTCCACTTTTTCTTAAAAAAAAAAAGAAGTTTATTTTTTATAAGCTAAAACAATATTAAAGTTTATTAAAATAAGTTAATGTATTATTAAATTTATAAGTATGATTAAATTCTCTTTAGAGAAAATTAACCTCTTTTTATTTGTTATTAGTGTAATAAATTTATTAATAAAATATGCTTGATCCAAAATGTAATTAAACAAAAATTTCAACTTGTCTTAGCATATATCTAAATATTTTTTTCTTCAATAAAAAAAAATTAATATTGTTTTAGGTCTAACCATGTCATCCAAAACTTAGTCTACTTGATTTAAGTTAATTTAAGGGCAAACCAATTTAACTCAATTTAAAGTCAAATTAAAAAAAAAAAGATAAAAATAAAATAAATCAATATTTCTTGCTTGAAATGTGGGAGGATATTGTGATATATAAAGTCTAATTCAGCTAAAACTTTGATGGAGAATCAATTGAAAGGGACATACATAACTGTTCGCTTTGCGAACCACAGCCCAGTCCTCCACCCAATGGAACATGGCTATTCTTTCCTCTTTGTCATTGTGTGGGAGACCCTTGCATTCGAATCCCCATTGCAGCAGCAGCCCTCTTTGTCTACTCCTTCGTTCGGTCTTTCTGTTTCTTCAGAGCTGATCTTCTAATCCAGGTGGCACGAGGAAGATGCCATCGCTGATTGGTGAGCTTGCGGTAGCGATTGTTACCTTGTTCTTTCTTTTCGCAGCAGCGGTTTGCGATGGGATGATACCGTCCGACTGTTTTTTCAATACTCTGATTTAATTTTCTTTCTCTTTTCAGCCACTCCTGCTGTGGATTCTAAGCTTGGGATTCAAGGTTGTGAAGTTGGGTTGCTCTAACGTGGTATCGTGATTCCTGGTTAATCCCTCTACCTTTATTATCTTGTTGATGTAACTCAATTGACTTACATGACCTAATTGTTGGATTATTAGATAATTGTTGGATTATTAGATGGAATTAAGTTATTTGGTTGAGATGCTGAGATTACAATGTTACAACCAGTTCTCGAAGAAAATTAACTGTAAATTTGCATGATGGGATGAGTTGATTAATTTCAAGTTAATCCAATAAGTACAATGTGTTCGTAAGTATGATAAAAGCATGATTCGAGCATCAAGAAGTCCATGGCATTCAAATGTTCATACACCAAAACATAAATGAAAGTTAATTTTTATACTAGCATTTCTGAAGCACAACCAGCTTTTAAATTAATTAAATAAGTTGACTTAATCACATTTTCCAGATTTTTGAAATATGAATGTAAAAGCTTTCTCCTCTTAAATATACAAAATAGTAACCTAAAAACTACATAATTAATTGTTCGCAAGAAACAAACTTAGTAGGGGAGATCTACTAGCTCTGTAATATATAACATGGTATAGGGAATTCAATATTATCATTAAAAGTGGCACAATAAAGAAGATATTTATGATTATTGCATCCGATTGACCAAAACTTATATGATGGAAGTTATTAGAAATAATAATTAGTCAGCAATAGTCGTGATGCTGTAGAGTTCATCATAAATCATATGCTTACATCCTCTTGCATGCATATTGCTATAGAGGTGGTGGCGGACTCTCGGTCAAGGATTGTAGATGGATATCTGTTTATGGAGTGAGTGTAGGAGATGAGGGGAGGCTAATAGAAGTGGATTTTAGCTAAGAAAGTTTTGGGAATGAAGCTTTCTTACCATCCTTACCAAGATGAATGCAAGTGGATGTAACCTTTCTCTTGCAACTTCCTGATGTAACCTTTCTCATGCAACTTCCTGCGCTTGTTTAGGATTGTCTGTTATACCAAATGATAGATGATAATTGGTATGTTGGATAATGGAAGAGAATGTGAATGTTTATTTTTAATTGTTACTTATGTGATATGAGAAGGTTAGTGGAATGTTCAGGTTCTGTAGAAGCTAAGGGAAGGTGAATTTCAAAATAGTGCTCAGAGCTTCTTGTTGTTTGGAGGGCTTATGGTGTGCTGTTATGTCTTGGGCAAGTGCTTGCAAGGAATGTTCACATGGAATGAGGTAATTTTTGAACATGAAAGGTGGTGGAATGGATGATCAAAATAAATTAATAAAATATCCAAAGTAACTCTTGCCAAAGAATTGTGTTTCGACTCGGTCTCCAAAGTAACTCTCGCCAAAGCATTATATTATGACTAAAGTGTTATAATAAAGATTTAATAATCAGTATGATCAATGTTTGCTATATGTAAGGATCAGTGATTGGTATGAGCTTAGTAAATTTCATAACCAAACAATGAACATGAAGATCATTAGAATTTCTTACAATAATTAACATGATTAACTTAAATAAATATCAAATCATATCAATATCAACAAATGAAATCTTATGAATAAAGAAATTGTATTTCATAATATACATTTACTAACAAATAAGATTGTAAGTGTTTAGCAAAATGCTCATAACATGGAATGATAATGATTCCCCTTTAACCCATGAAGAGTGATCTTTTTTATGAAGATCACCGTCAATATGACATATCGGTCATCACTTTGATCTATCTCACTTCAACATATGGCACTGCATGATACCTAGGGTCAAAGGATCTAGGTCAATTATGCATTTGGTGCAGTGCATGTTAAAAGTTTAAACAATCAAAATAGCTATTTTAAGCATTTTATTTTAATCAAGGAGCACACGTACAGAAAGTTTCTTTGTTAAAAATATTATGTCTACATATTTGTATTATAAAATATCATGTACTCAAGCATTCATGTTTTAAGACAGCATAAACCAGTGTTTTTGATTAAATCATGTATAAAATATCACAATCTTAGATTTCCATCATTCATAGCTTCTAACATTTGCTTATATGATCGATTCAAATAAAACCCCTTTTAAAATCTATGCTAGAAGTTTATGTAGGATGATTGTGGGTTCATTACCTTAAAAATTCAATTCATAGTTTATTATCCATATAAATTTAATTTTGAGTATGTTAAGTTTTTTTCTGCTTAAATGATACAATTCTTCTCATATTTTCATTAGGCGAGCCTAAGATCAGTGCAAAAATAAGTTGGGCACAAGGACAATTATAGATATTAGGTGGGTGCTAGGATAGTTGAAGATATATAATCTTCATGGATCTAGAGGAATTCATTATAGCCGGATTCATGGAGATTGGTGTTGGAGACCTCTTGATTATAAATCAATATATATATATATATAAATGTTAGGATTAGAGTTTAACATTTATTTATCGTCTTATTTGAGCTTTAACAATAAACTTAACAACCTTAATTCATACGCATAAAACATCACTCTATTAGCATAAATAAATCTTGGATTGTCAGTATACTAATTGCTTCTAGAATGATGAAGTAAATGAAGATCTACGAAATGGTTCCAACTAGCAAGCCGTTCTTTTTCTATCGAATAACTCCCAAATTGGCTATTAGCTATTGCAATTCCTTTCCCCCTTTATCTTTTTCTCGGTTGCATGACCTTGTCCTTCGCATCTTTGTTCTCTTCTTTAATTGTTTTTTTAGTGCATATTGTCTTGCTCTTCTTGAACTCACAATTTTACTTATTCCATTTTTTTCTTGCTTTGTCATGATCTTGCCTGAATGCTTGGAATAATTAAGACGACAACAGATAATTGGATTGAAAGTTTTCTTAACTAAATATTTACATAACACAAAATCTTTTCATTCATAAAAGAGCCAAATATATCAAAAAATTTTCTTATTTATAATTTACCACTGAATACTTTCAAATTAAATAATTTCTAAAGTTATTATTGATACAAAAATTTATTACGTTAACTATCTTCGGTAGCTCCCCATCATCTATAACAAATTCTTTTCCTTTCAATTTAAATGTGATTTACTTGATAATATTCATCAACTATTTTATATGTTAAAAAAATCAAAAGCGAAATATGTTTTTAAATCATAGTAATTCAAAAATTAGAAAATAATATTCATGAAAAATTTTATAAGTAAATTAGTGCAGAGCAGTTTATTATGAGAAATAAGGTATAGGGGCAATTTATAATTTTCACAATATAGTTTTTATAACTAATCATATAATGCACTTGTTTCTGTCTAAATGTGTGCTATAAATGCACACTTTTTTCATAATATATTCTAAAATCCAAATTATATATTTAGAATATTTAAACATGAATTATATAATTATTGAAATAATTAGTTAGGAAAATATGTGAAGGAAAAGAAATATCATGTTATGGGAAATAAGTTGATAGTAATATAATTATATTACTCATGCAAGTAGGGGCAAAAGAATCCCCAATGGGACAATAGGTATCCTATAAAGGAAGGGTCCTAAAGACAGTTCAACAAGATTTCACGTACGCTGTATTGAACTTGATAATATAATTTTTTGACCTGTTATGGTAATTAATAACTAAGATTATCGTGCATGAGGCATTTTAAAACTGAAATGAAATACACTACTACAGAAAATGACAAAAGAAAATATAACTTGATGCATTTAAATTTTGTACTTTTTTACAATTCTCTCTCTAATGATTATTATATATATTTATTATTTTTCAGTATTTGATTTCTGTATTAGATTTGTTTATTTTTTAGGCAAAAATTTTGATGATTTTAGATGCTCTCTAGATAATGATTATTATGTATATTTATTATTTTTCAGTATTTGATTTCTGTTTAGATTTGTTTATTTTTGAGGCAAAAATTTTGATGATTTTAGATGCTCTCTAGATTTATTTCTAATTATATACTTATGATTGCTTTGGCTTATTTTTAAATATTTGAGTATACTGAAATTGAGTGTATTAGAAAATGTTTGAATTTACTTTTTGTTTGGTGAATTTATGTGATTGAATGTATCCTCCATTTTATTCTAATGATTAAGTTTTCTGAATGTGTGTTGCAAATACATTCAATTAACTAAATCAAACATGCATTTATTATGTCTTATTTCGATTGGTGAAACGTGTCATTGTGAGACGTGACAGGTTTAGTGTTTGTATCTCTTGAAAAATATATAATGCACTACTCTTACAGTATTTCAGAGTTCCGTATAAATAATGAAGCTGAATATGTACTTTTGATTGCTGACCTACAGTTAGCCATTCACATTTTGTTATTATCTAAGTTGTAAATACAAATTTTATTAGGCTTGTTCTCTTTCATTATCTCTAAAGAGTTATGGATTTTTTACAATACATTCACAACACTATTGAAAGAGTTTTCTATTGCCAAAATGGTAAATCTGATGTACTAGCTAAGTTAGCAAAAGGACTAGCAGATTCTAAACATTCACACGTGATTGTTACTATTTAGAATAGAAGGATCCTCAAACATGATACTTATATACCTGAACTAAAAAAGTTATTTGCTACAATAACTGATGAAGAAATTGATTGGAGATAGCCTCTTATAGACTACTTGTATTCGGGAAAATCCTTGATGACCCTTCTGTGGCGATTCAAATTAAAAAGATGAATTGTCATTTGCTTATGTCTATTTTGTATCGTAGTGTATTTGATCTCATATTTTTACACTGCCTCAGACAAAATGAAGCACACTAGGTCATGCGTGTTAGGTCCTAAAATGATGATCATAATTATGAGGTTGAGATGTTATTGACCTATATGACACATGATTGCATTTTGTATTCTCGCTGATGCCATCAATGCCAAGTTCATAACATTTTCCTACACTAAACCCCGAATATTTTTCACCCCGCTATTGCTTCCTGACTCTGAGTATCGGGGCACATATATTATTGGTTTGTTTGAGTCACATTTCTCAAATGTTCCTAGGCTCATCTTGATGGCCAATGGTTATACCCCTTACGGTGGTCAGGACAGATAACATGTTGCATTTTTTCAGA